GAAATAAACAAACAGAATATATCATACATCCTAAAGAAATAAATAAACAGAATATATCAGTCACATACCTTGTTAGCCAATTGTTGGTGTATGTGCTTATGACATCAACTTTCTTTCTAATATTGGGCAATATATCATTCTCATCCAAAGTACCAAATCTCATTATGTTATTTTCCCATCTCTCCATCATGTATATTCTGATGTATTATAACATAGTGATTAGTAGTTTTGCCCTTGCGTCAAGAATGACACTATTAAAGGATTCATACATGTTGTTGAGAACAACATCATATTTGTTTGTGGTTTTAAAGTAAGATCTACTCCAAAATATTGGTGGGGTCTTCATCATATGTTTAAATGCTTCTTCATTGATGGCCCTCATTCCCTTCATCTCTTTTTCCCATGCTTGTGGGTATGTTGACTTGGTAGCCTTCCATATTATGTCCTTCAACATTTTTCTAGAAAACCTCTTCCTAAAATTATTATAGAGGTTCCTAACACAAAACCTGTGCTCCACCCTTGGCAATAGTTTATCTATAGTAGGTAACAAACCCTGAAATAGAGAAAAATATGGAATAACAATATAGCATAACATACTTTGTTTACAAAACAGAAAATATAAAAGCATAACAGTAAAAGAAAAACTTGCCTTTTGTTGGTCTGTGATGAAGGTGTATGTCATGCATTGATCTTTGCCACCAAGGATCCCTCCCTATGGCAACCAGAATCTGCCCTCCACATAACCCTTTGAGAAAGCATATGTAAAGCCTTCTAAAATATGGCATTTGATCCTCAACATCTTCTGGTACAGAATCAACATTGATCTTAACTGCTGACCCTAGATTGGCTCTTAACAGTTCATGACAGTAGTCATGGATCCTTGTGTAATCTTCCAAAAAAGAACCATCAACATAATCTCTAGCTGCAAATCTTGCTCTTATTGCTTTGGTTTATTGACCTCAACGTTCCACTTTTTTTGTGTCTTCTTATTGATATCCTTTATGGTCATCCTTGGATTGTTTTTCAAGCTATTCTGAATTCTTTTGCTCAACCACTTTGTATTTATCAACTTCATATTATACTCTCTACTACAACTGTGTTTGTCAATTACTTTCCTAAGTTGCCAAGAGTCTTCATTTGATAACTTGCTACAATAACCCTCCCAGTCACAGCCAACTTTACATCTAACCATTACCTTAACTCTGTCATTTTTTACAAACCTTAGGTCTCTACCATTTTGCACAGCATAGGATGTTATTGCTTCCTTAAAATCACCATTTGAGCTAAACTACTTTTCCACTTGTAATCTGACATGTCTTTTGGCTTCCTGAAAATTGGATGCTTTTTTCTTGGAACTCTATTACTATCATCACTATCACAGCCACTTTGCATGTCCTCACTATCATTGTCACTCCATTTATCTTCTACAGACTTTTCTTTAAGTTCTTATACTTTTCCATTACCATCACTTTCATACCCAATTAGGGTATCAAGTTCATCCTGCCAAGTGTCATCATACCCATCAGACTCATCCTCAAAAGCCACTTCTTAAGCACTATCATAATTGTAGTCCTCATCGTCATTATCATCAGAACTTAAGTCATAATTATTTACACCAACTTTACCTTGTCCAACTTGTTCCGCTGCAGATTTAACTTATTCAACTCCAACATTAATTTTCTTAACTCCAACAATACGTTCCTCCACTGCAAGATTAACTTGATTAACTCGAATATTACCTTCCTTCAACCCAACAGTGGCTTGTTTAACTCCAATATCACCTACCTCCATCACAATAGTGGTTTGTTCAACTGCAACAACTTCATCATGCAGTTTACTAAGTAACTCCTCCACCTCATCTACAATTTCAGCAGGGCCCTCATCAACATTATCAACAATATCACAGTAGTCAGGTTGAGACAAGGTGTGTTGAATGTAAATATCAACACTTTTATGCACCCTATACATATCTGCAATTTCTAAAGCACCCTTATCATCAACAAATGCATTCATCTCAAATTGAGGGTCCTTGTAATATATTGTTCCAAACTCCCTATAACCCAAGTCTTACAATACACCAACTAGGTCAAAATAACTTCATTTGTTGACATCTACTTTCAAATCATCTACTACTCCATTCTCGTATACACTAAGACCTTCATCGATGAATTTACCACTATGATGAATTTTAAGATTTATGTATTCATCCATGATACCTAATCATATTACCTAAATAATTAGAGTTTACACTAAAACAATTACATAAACCCTAAATTTGAACATAACCAGATATTGGCCTAAGAGATTCGTAAACCCTAAATTAGAAAGAAATGTACTAACCTTTTGATAAACATGTCTTGAATCGTCGTCAATTCTTCACGTCTTTGATGCAACAATCCTTTGCACCCTCAATGCGCTGCTTCACTCACTGAGATTATAAGTCGTTTGAGTTTACCCTAACACAACTTCGTTGATGCAACAATCCTTTGAGTTTCTGGGTAATGGAAAGCAAAATACACTTGGATTTATTTTAAGACATCTTATATCCACGTTAACAACATAAAATCCACCTGGACAAATGTGACATCTATTTTCAAGCTTTGACTAACGGCAACATACGGAAGGATAAACGTGACACCATTTTAAAAGTTAAAGGACCAACTTGCCACTTTTAAAAGTTAAGGGACCAAACTAGACCCCGGCCTAAAGTTAAGGGACGAAAAAAGTTATTTTGCTTTTTTTATGTGTATGACATGCCTAAAACCTGTAAAAACATGTTTAGATACTCTTTTTATGCATCCCAAGGCTAAGGGGATAAATGAGCATCTAAACGTAGGTTGATATCGTCCAATATACAAAATCGATATACTACCTTTCTTGTTTGACATCATTCAAAATCCAATTGAATTTGTAGTTAGCACTCACAAAGCACCCCTGCAGCTACGAACATGTCTTATTGCCTCACTCGGTGACACTCCTAAGTAATTAACAACAAGTTCAACAACAACTTCTTCATTGACATCTTGAGGGCTCCAAAACACTCCCATTATGGGCAAGTGAAGCAAACAAGAGATGTCATCCAGAGTAATTCTCTTCTGACCAATTGGCATGTGAAATAAAAATGTCTCTAGATGTCGTCTCTACAAATGTTGATATTAGGTTTGTGTCTATCTTCGTCAAACTGGTTCTCTGAAGTGAAGATAGACCAGCCCGAGAAATTCAACTCTCAATTTGTGGTGGAAGAATATAAGGAACCCTCGTTGTAAGCTTCAGCCCATGTCCAGCAAGCTTTAACTCTTTCTTCGAAACTCTCTCCTAAAAACAATTAAAAGTACACATATTATAAAACAGAACATTAAAAATTCAAATATTATTCAATATAAAGTAAATGTTATTCACTTACCTCACCGAACCATAAATGTCGAGCAACATGATGCTCGTAGTTTACCGAAAAAGATGTATCGTACGACCCCCTAAGAAAGCTAACTGGTTGTGATGCAGATGCACCAATATGCTCTTCCTCACCTACCAACGTCGATGGAACGCTCCGTCCTAAACCACGATCTGGAATTCTATCGTTCTTGTCTTATGTTAGCGCCACTGTCAAAATAACAAATAAAAAAAACATAAATAATTTAAAAAATCAATTTGGAACACATTTTAAAAGAGTCTCGGTTAAAAAAATAATTAAAAAAAAAACGGAACACGTTTTACCGGTGAAAATTTCGCCAAACCGGAAGACAAAAATGAGTTATGGTGTGTAGAATAAAAATCGGATGACTTTTCCTTTGAGTTTTGGTGAAATTGTCAAACTGAAAGACTAACTAAATCTTTTCCAATTTGTAATATGTGAATCAGAAGAGTTGATAGAAGTGTTCCGGCATGAACAGCGAAAACTTTTGCTTCGGAAGACTTTAAACAAGAGTGAAGTAAAAGTGAAAATTTCTAAAATATAAATTATTTATATGAGGGTATTTTAGACCAAAAGAAAATAATAGAGGTAGAGAATAATTGATGGAGTACAGGCTAAAATTAAATATAAATAAATAAATAAATAAGGGGGATTTCTTATCCCACCCCTCGGGGTTATTAGCCACCATGCGTTTTTTCTTAAATATCTCCAGGTTCTGGAAATATATCTCTCGAACGCACATTTTTTTACTCAACGTTGGATTTGTTTAGAGATACATCTCCGGAATCACAATAAAATACGTATTTTATTCGTTTTTAGTTAGACCCTCCAAAATTTACAAATAAATTGTTTTCGAAAATATATCTTTGAAAACAATTTATTTGGAAATTTTGGAAAGTCTGACTCAAAAACGAATAAAATACGTGTTTTATGATGATTCCGGAAATGTATCTCCAAAAAAATTTAACGTTTAATAAAAAAAAGTGTGTCCAGATATCTCCGAAACCTAAAGGCATTTAAGAAAACGCACATTGTGGCTAATACCCTCAAGGGTTGCCATAAAACCTCTCAAAAAAAAACTAATATGACCTAAGCCCAATAAAAAATTCTTAACAAATTAATAGAATTTTGTTTTAGATAAAAGTAAATAAATAAATAAAACTGATGCAATATTTCATGACCCTTAACAAATTGTATACATGATAAATATTTTCATTAATTAATTAGTTAAAAATAATTATTTGTAAATTAATTAATAAAATATTAACGTATTATTAATTCAATAATTGAAACATCAATTATTATATTGAGGTAGTCAATATAGAATTAAATATGTAGAAATTTGTTAGTATAAAGTATTATTAAGATATAAATGAAATTATTCTAATATAATTTATTTGTTTATTTGAATATTTAATTGAGTAAGAATTACTTTAAAAATAAATAAAAAAAGACTTTTATCACTTTTATAATGTCGTCTTTATATAATGGTGGTCTGATCTATCAAACAGAAATTCGTAGAGATTGGTGTAGGTCCACATGTATTTTGCTTTCTTTTCTTTTTTTCATAATATATACAGAATTTGTTTCAAGCTTGAGCTATTCCAGTCTTGGAAGTAAAAATGCGGTTGAGAATAGCTGCAAGTCGTACACCACCTTGAGCCAGCCTTTTCTCCACAATAGGCAGTCGAGAAAGGAAGTATTCATCTACATCATCAAATAGAATAACAATGTATGAGAAGACATTCTTTAGGGATTTATGAAATTGTACTAGGAATTTCTTGTACCCTGATTGCAATAATCCAAAGTTACTAGCCACAATGATATGTAATTTCTTGTACTAGGAAATTACCTTTCAAAGTGCTTCCCGGTGTAGCATTCCTATACGCAAACTTGCATGCCAAGCTAACGCTCTCAGAAGCATACCTGAACATAACCAATAAAATCTTGGTATGTAATTTTTTGACATTAATTGTATGTTAGTAGTTTTTTAATTTCTAGTAATAGTTAATATCGAAAATGAAGGGGAAGTTCATGCTGTCAAAACTAAAATACACAAGCAAACATTTAAGGACACATATTATTAAAAGCATTTAGCTTGATAAAAAATAAATTCGTATCATGGTTTCACTCTATTTTCCAAGTGAAGATCACATAGTTATGATAATGAGACACAGTAAGAAGTGTAACCAGATCAATACTCACCAATCTGGACATGCTGTGTAGTTGTGTGCACAATGTTCCCAAATAGATACATCATTTGACCAAATATCCTGCAGAAAGTGAGTAAAAATAATAGTTGGTCTTGGGATCTATACAGGCTACACGGTACAAGTTCAAACAAAGAAATAAGTGTAAGAACAAAAGAAAAAACATCATTTTTTCAATGACAAATACCCCCGTCATTTGCATGTATGCATAAAGATATAGGGGGAATTACAGTAATATTCCGTTGAATAGCCTGTATCATAGTTGAAAGATCTGAGGCATAGAACGTTTTCAGAGCAGACTCAATAATCATGTTATCCCATACCTGGAACAAAACAGAACATACTAAATTTAATCAATTTACTACATCATTGACAATGACTGGTAGCACAGGCATTATAATCAACGGATCAAAACAAAAAGAATGTGTACTAGAGCTTAGTGACAATGTAAATAAGAATCAATTTCAAAAGTAGGTGTGCATCTTTAGCTACACATCATTGGTTATAACATGTGAGAATATGATGAGTCTTTTAGTTAAAAATATAAACAGTTTCTATCATAATACAACAAAGTTTCTTTAAATATGACATCAAACTTAAAATTGAAATTCCAATATAAATTCATTGCTTTAACCTTTTATTATATACAGATCCTCAATCTTCCCTTTCCCAACTAACTTGTTTCTCCCAATCACAATTATAAAGCAACAATATACAAAATCAATAATCCTATAAAGCTTCACAGCAGGTAAAGTTATGATAAAAACTATCATTCTATGATAAAATAAAAGAGGGAAAAATCAAAGTCTCAATCAATCACAAACACTCCATAAACAATGGAAAAAATGCTCAATATACTAGTTAGGTTGCGGAATGCAGTTATCCTGATCAAGTAGCATACAATCTGAGTGTTGTAACACTTACATGATGAAGATTTGTTTTCCTCCTGTACCAGTGAACTGTTATTGAGTTTCCACCCAGGTCTCCGGTAAAACCAACATGAAGGGGCTACACCAGAAAATAAGCACAATTTTATAGAAAAGAAAATATGTTTAACAGTGTGATTGTGATTTTCATATTACACAGTGAATGATATCATAAAATTCTTATTTCTCAACTTAGAAACCCAAACTATGGTAAGCCACTGATGAAAAGTGTTATTGATGGCAGAGAGTCAAAATTCCGTAATAAAGCCCTACATAAGGCACCACTATATCAACATATACAAACCAAGTATTCATTCAATTGTTCAATAGATTTTGAATAAGAACCAGGAAGAACAAACCTGATGTACATCACCAACAAAATGTGACAAGAACAAAAGTGCCTCTGTCAAATTATCTATAATTGAGAGAAAAATAAGTAAATTCAAGAACCTGTCTTCAAACGAAACAAACAATTAAGAATTATATAATCAGTAAATGCTTATTACACTTACAGTTTAATTTAGATGAAGCATCAGCATAAGCTAATTTCAATTGCATTGTATAATTGTGAATTGCTCCAGTAACACATCTATGCTTATGTCCATAAGAATCATGACAATCTCCTATAAGAATTGCGAGAAACTGATGAGAAGCATGGTAGAGTCCAACAACGTGGGAAATAAAATTATAGAAAGATTGATTTTGAAATTGTTCTGGGCCAGCCGGAAGGCCCTACAAACGCAGCCCAGAGAATGCAACAATCCACTAAGTGACTCACGGAGTAGGAGTGTTATTCTGAGTTAGAGCACAGAAGATCCGGATCTAAGATCCATCCAACTGCTCCTTGCATCCTACGCCTAAAGATCGGTAAGTTGTTACAACCACTCTACTATATAAAGAGGGAGCGCCATTTTCCGGGTAAAATTCAAATTCAAACTTCATTCATTCATCTTACTCTCATACTGACTTGAGTATTATAGTGCTAACTTGCAGGTCAGCCTCATTCTCACCTTACTAGAAGCTCAAGTCCACCGTTGCAATCTGCAACCTTCGTTCTTCGATTAATGTTCCCTAGTGGAACAGAATTTGATAGTGACTATAAGGTATATAACTAATATAACTAACTTCAAACTAATCATAACTAACTACAAACTAATCATAACTAACTACTACCTTAACAAATATTAAACTAATTCTAATTATTCTAATTAGTAACCAACTATATCTAACATAAACATTGAAGTAATTTATGAAGCACATGGACGCATTAAGAATTAAATTGATACCAAAAAACTTACTGCAGTATTGATAATTACACTTGAAATCAGGTGTATCAACATAATGTAAAGCACTACTCCAATGATAATGGTAGCGAATTTCATCAGGCCAAGAGCAAAGTGCAGCAAGATCACCTTGAGCAGAATCTGGAAGCAGTTGTTTCACTGCAAAAAGAGCATCTTCACTAAGATACTCCTAAAATTAGGGTTTGAATTCAGAATCAACGTTGAATTCAAAGTATGAGAGAGGGAAAAGGTGAAAAGTGGTAGGGTTAGGGTTACCTGTGAAATTTTACAAACTGCATAGTGGCCATCTTTTCCCCAACCTAGAACTATTGGTATCAGCAACAGAACTAAGAGTGCTATCAATCGATTATTATTACAGATAGACATAGAAGAAAGCATCGTGAGTGTGTTTCCATAAATACTGCACGGTTCATACCATTCTTTTCATTCGCCAAAATGAGAGGAAAATATCCCAAAATTTTATTCTTCAATTTTAAACTTAATTGTTTGAACTTTAATTTGATACAATTTTGTTTGAAATTTAAAGCATAGTCATTATTTCTTATAAGAAGTTTTGAATATTCTATAAATTGATTTATAATTTGGAATAGAAGTAGTACTTAAGGTAAAGGTTAATGTGCTACCTTCGCGTTATTAGCACGACGCTCTAACTAACTGAGCTAATGGGCTATATTTTTATATCATCTAAAATATTAATTTAATAGTTGCTCTTAAGAGAAAAACAATTTCTTAATATTGATACAAGTATATTGATGTATTACTGTCATCGTCTTCTTTTACAATATTGTCGCAATGCGAATAATAATCGGCGGAAAAACAGAGTCGCCACCGAACATTATTTATCCCAACGGGGGAAAGGAAACAGTCGAAGAAACCTCAAAAGGGAGAAGACATGGTCTCGCAACCAAATCCTGGATTTGGGAGTCGATTAGCGAGAGAAGATATTAGCACCCCCTCGCGTTCGTTGAACTCAACGGGATCCACGCTTGTTATCTAATCAAAGGGTGTATTTATCTAAAGCTCTACTTGCTAACGGAAACAACAGGGAAAAAAACCAAAGGAGTTTCGATAGGACTTCGATGTCCTAGGCCTACGTATCCGCTCGTGCAATGGAAAAGTCGGAGTCAACGTAGTTCGGGGGACTACGGATGAATGAGGGGATTGTGCTCGCCAAGACTTCACCGTCTTGTGCCTACGTGAAATGAAGGTCTGGAAAACTTCAATGAACCTCCACGGGTTGGACTACTCTGGATTTTTCCTCGCGGACGAGAATGAGAAAGTCAGAGCAGTCGTAGTTCAACCTACCACGGGTTGGTTGGGTGTCTTTAATGATAAAAAATATTTTAGAATCTAAAAAAAATATAATATTTGGCCCATGCAGGTCTCGAACCTGCGACCTTCGCGTTATTAGCACGACGCTCTAACCAACTGAGCTAATGGGCCATATGTTTATATTGTCTAAAATATAAATTTAATAGTTGCTCTTAAGAGAAAAACAATTTCTCAATATTGATACAAGTATATTGATGTATTATCGTCACCGTCTAATTCTACAATATTGTCGCAACGCGAATAATAACCGGCGAAAAAACAGAGTCGCCACCGAACATTATTTATCCCAACGGGGGAAAGGAAACAGTCGAAGAAACCTCAAAAGGGAAAAGACATGGTCTCGCAACCAAATCCTGAATTTGGGAGTCGATTACGCGAGAGGAAGGTATTAGCACCCCCTCGCGTTCGTTGAACTCAACGGGATCCACGTTTGTTATCTAATCAAAGGGTGTATTTATCTAAAGCTCTACTTGCTAACGGAAACTACAGGGGAAAAACCCAAAGGAGATTCGATAGGACTTCGATGTCCTAGGCCTACGTATTCGCTCGTGCAATGGAAAAGTCGGAGTCAACGTAGTTCGGGGGACTACGGATGAATGAGGGGATTGTGCTCGCCAAGACTTCGCCGTCTTGTGCCTACGTGAAATGAAGGTCTGGAAAACTTCAATGAACCTCCACGGGTTGGACTACTCTGGATTTTTCCTCACGGACGAGAATGAGAAAGTCAGAGCAGTCGTAGTTCAACCTACCACTGGTTGGTTGGGTGTCTTTAATGAATGATGTTAAGTTCACGTTCCAGCAGTTAGGGTCGACGCATGTTTGTGGTAGAACGGAAGTAGCATGCCCTTTTTGAAAAAAAAAGGTTTGGGAGGAAATCCCTTTGTTAAAAAATATTTTAGAATCTAAAAAATATATAATATTTGGCCCATGCAGGTCTCGAACCTGCGACCTTCGCGTTATTAGCACGACGCTCTAACCAACTGAGCTAATGGGCCATATGTTTATATTGTCTAAAATATTAATTTAATAGTTGCTCTTAAGAGAAAAACAATTTCTCAATATTAATACAAGTATATTGATGTATTATCGTCATCGTCTTCTTCTACTATATTGTCGCAACGCGAATAATAACCGGCGGAAAAACAGAGTCGCCACTGAACATTATTTATCCCAACGGGGGAAAGGAAACAGTCGAAGAAACCACAAAAGGGAGAAGACATGGTCTCGCAACCAAATCCTGGATTTGGGAGTCGATTACGCGAGAGGAAGGTATTAGCACCCCCTCGCGTTCGTTGAACTCAACGGGATCCACGCTTGTTATCTAATCAAAGGGTGTATTTATCTAAAGCTCTACTTGCTAACGGAAACTACAGGGAAAAAAACCAAAGGAGATTCGATAGGACTTCGATGTCCTAGGCCTACGTATTGGCTCGTGCAATGGAAAAGTCGGAGTCAACGTAGTTCGGGGGACTACGGATGAATGAGGGGATTGTGCTCGCCAAGACTTCGCCGTCTTGTGCCTACGTGAAATGAAGGTCTGGACAACTTCAATGAACCTCCACGGGTTGGACTACTCTGGATTTTTCCTCGCGGACGAGGAAATTTTACCCCATACCCCTACACTAAAATTTTTTGGACCAAAATACCCTCGTATAAAAAGTTATAATTTTTTTGTTTGTTTATCGGAAGACTTTTTGGAAGTCTTCCGGTTCACATTTTTTTTTGGTTTGTTTACCGGAAGACTTTTTGGAAGTCTCCCGGTTTACATTTTTTTAGCTTGTTTACCGGAAGACTTTTTGAAAGTCTTCCGGTTCATGTTTATTTTTTTTTTATTTTTTTTTTAATTTTTAATTTTTTTTAATATTCAAATTACAAATATATTTATTCTATTTACTGTATTTTAGTTAATTAATATATTTATTTTATTTTCTCTATTTATTCTATTTATTTATTTAATAATAATTATTTCACTAATTTGATTTTTTTATTAATTTATTATATTTATTTACTTAATAATAATTACTCCACTAATTTAGTATTGTTTTTTTTTAATCAATAAAAATAAAAGTTGTTAACTAATTTATATATTGATTGTGTTCTTTAAAGAAGAAAATTAACAATTTAATAATATGTTTATATGAAAAATAAAAATAAATATCATATTTAAATTATAATCCTATCATTTCTTCTATCAAAAATTTTCACCAAAACATTATAATATATAACATTTATAATTATTTAAACAATATTTTATGGGGTAAAATATTAACTTTTAAAAATATATTTTATGGGGTAAAATATACTTTTAAAAATTTTCACCATAAAATATTAACTTTTAAAATTTGTAGGGGTAAAATATGTTATGGGATAAAATATTAACTTTTAAAATATTAAAAACTAATTAAATCATAAACGTTTCCTTCCGAGTAATTGTGGTGTCTCAAAATTCTCAGGCATATCTAGAATCACAAAGTCGACTGAAAATGATAGAACATCTACTCTTACCGAGACATCTTCAAGAATTCTGTATGGGCATGTGATTGATCTATCCGGCAGTGTTAGAATCATTGAGTAGGTTTCTACTCACCATATTTTAACTTCCTCATCATGGACAATGACATCATATTGATGCTAGCTCCTAAATCACACAGAGAAATGCTAATATTTAGCGAACCAATAACATAAGGAATAGTGAATTTACCTAATTAGTGATTTTGGGTGGAAGCTTCCTTTGAATGATTTTACTACACTCTTCTGTTAAAGCATGTTTTCATCACTCTTCTGCTAAATATTTATGATTTAATTAGTTTTTAATATTTTAAATGTTAATATTTTACCCCATAAAATATTTTACCCCTACAAATTTTAAAAGTTAATATTTTATGGTGAAAATTTTTAAAAGTATATTTTACCTCATAAAATATATTTTTAAAAGTTAATATTTTACCCCATAAAATATTGTTTAAATAATTATAAATGTTATATATTATAATTTTTTGGTGAAATTTTTTGATAGAAGAAATGATAGGATTATAATTTAAATATGATATTTATTTTTATTTTTCATATAAACATATTATTAAATTGTTAATTTTCTTCTTTAAAGAACACAATCAATATATAAATCAGTTAACAATTTTTATTTTTATTGATTAAAAAAACAATACCAAATTAGTGGAGTAATTATTATTAAGTAAATAAATATAGTAAATTAATAAAAAATCAAATTAGTGGAAAAATTATTATTAAATAAATAAATAGAGTAAATAGAATAAATATATTAATTAACTAAAATAGAGTAAATAGAATAAATATATTTGTAATTTGAATATTAAAAAAATTAAAAATTAAAAAAAAAACATGAACCGGAAGACTTCCAAAAAGTCTTCCGGTAAACAAACCAAAAAAAATGTGAACCGGAAGACTTCCAAAAGGTCTTCCGGTAAACAAACAAAAAAAAATGTAAACCGGAGGACTTCCAAAAAGTCTTCTGGTAAACAAACCAAAAAATTATAACTTTTTATACGAGGGTATTTTGGTTCAAAAAATTTTTGTGTAGGGGTATGTGGTAAAATTTCCTGTGGACGAGAATGAGAAAGTCAGAGCAGTCGTAGTTCGGCCTACCATGGGATGGTTGCGTCGGCCTACCACGGGATGGTTGCGTGTCTTTAATGAATGATGCTAAGTTCACGTTCCAGCAGTTAGGGTCGAAGCATGTTTGTGGTAGAACGGAAGTAGCATGCCCTTTTTGAAAAAAAAGTTTGGGAGGAAATCCCTTTGTTAAAAAATATTTTAGAATCTAAAGAAAATATAATATTTGGCTCATGCAAGTCTCGAACCTGCGACCTTCGCATTATTAGCATGACACTCTAACCAACTGAGCTAATGGGTCATATGTTTATATTGTATAAAATATTAATTTAATAGTTACTCTTAAGAGAAAAACAATTTCTTAATATTGATACAAGTATATTGATGTATTACCGTCATCGTCTTCTTCTACAATATTGTCGCAACGCGAATAATAACCGGCGGAAAAACAGAGT